ATAAATACAATGTAATCTTTACAATGTGTAGAATATGCAAAAAAAACAGAGTGCCTGCAAAATACATACAGCAAAATTAAGTTATGAAACCGCGCGTGTTCTCTAAGCCGACATAAACCGTCGACGGGAAATTAATGTCGCGACAAGCAGGAATGTTTCGGCTCTAAAAAACAAGCATGCTACTGCGCTGTTACGTGGCATTTCCTCGCGTTCCTCCCGCCTCGTGTCACCGCATGTCACCGCGATTTACATACATGACATCCTTTGGGGTGATGATCGTGACGGTGAGGCGCGGTCTCAGGATCGGTGGTGAATCCTCCTTTTTCTCACACGACTGTCAAAATGTATTTAATAGAAGAGTGTGTGCTGTCGCAGCTAGTGTTGTCAATTTCCGTTTCTCACAGTCTTCGTTCTAATGGCTTTCCTTTCTCGCTCTATTTGTTTATATTTTTCCTGAAATTCGCTGATCTTTCGGCCTCATTTCCTTGCAGATGCGAAATGCAATGTGCGATCGATCACGCAATATGCACAATCTAAACTTTACGATGTGAAAACATGAACATCAGCGATGTTTCCTTTCAATTGCACCTTCTGCACTTTTTTCATCTTCTGTCTCTCTTTCTCTCTCTTTCTCTCTCTCTCTCTATCTTTCTATTCTAACCTAAATATGACCTAAATCTGTTTCGTTTTAATCCTGTCATTCACCTATCATTAACTTTGTAGGCTCGAGGATATTCGACTAATAAACAAAAGTATATTCTTTAATTTCGTTTGTTCAGTATTTTTTACAAATTCTATACCTGCGTTTCTCTCTTCCTAAATGTACCTATTGCATTTTTAAAGGAAAGTGCAGATTCAGTTGAAAAATCAAGTAACGATAAAATACAATTAGCCATGAGTGTCAAATAAACGTCATCAATTTCCTTGTGAATTAAATAGATGAAGTCGAGCGTGTAATAAAACAAATAAATATGATACATAAATACATGAATATGTTGGGCGACTATTCGAGAAATTTAAATTTGTTTCTATTTTAACTCAATTTTTGTAAAAATGTTAAAATCATTTATGATGCGCAAATTGATAATATATCAAATAAGAACAAGAGCTTTCGGTATTAGTGATACTATCACTGAAGAGTCCCGTTTACGACGAACAATTTCAACAGCTCCAGTGGCGCAATTGGTTAGCGCACGGTACTTATAGAGCAGTTTCTCGTGAGCGATGCCGGGGTTGTGAGTTCGAGCCTCACCTGGAGCAATTTTTTTTTTTTTTTTTTTTCCGTCAATGTGCGAATCGATTTAATAGTTTCATAATTTTTCGTGCTTACCATTACCTCTATGCGATCAATTATATTAATTATTAAACAATAATCAACATTAGATTGTACAATAATTTCAACACATAATGAGGATAATTTGTTATGATGTAATAAATTATACTGTATATTATAATGTAATCGAATATTAATTTTAGTGTTAAATATTATTTTAGTATTAAACATTAATGCGGCAAAATTTATATTAATATATCAAATGTTTTTAAATAATTAATAATAATATATATATTTTCACAATGAAAATTATTCAAAAATTATAGAAGAATTGATTAGAAGATTTTCAATGATTTTGGGATATAAAACAAATGTAACATACTAAATAATATACTTACATTAAAATGTATATTATGTAAGTACATAATAAATTTAATGTAATAAATTTAATACAGTATTGTATTAAATTTTATGTAGGATACATACATATATATAT